TCTGAAGGGGTTGGTTTCAATTAGTCTCAAAAGGGTGGTTCAGTTGAGGTAGTCGACCTATTATTGCCGACCATGTCTTTAACGAGCAATGTATATTCCGTTCTCAACGTGTCGATCGTTCAGTTTGAAAACGGTCGATTATTCTGTATTTCCTTTTTTTTTTCTTAAAACGCGAATAATAGAACCCAAATTGATTCTTGTGATATTCCGGAATCCTCTTTCGTTTTGAAGAATAACAATTTGTTGAAAGTGGTGGGATAAACAATTTTATCTCTAACAGAAATATCTTGTTTTCAGAAACAAGAGAAGAATATTATTTGAAGTGAAAACTTATCTGTCACGCAGCTGATGCTTTAAACTTTAAAGTATATTCTCCATTGCCCGAACGTGTTTTATAATACTGTATCGAGCGCTTTTAATTTTTCATCAATCTAACATAATTATTCTTTGTTGTATTCTTGAGAAACAATTTCGTCGTCTGATGCCTATGATCATGTTTTATTACCTATATCTTAAAAGATTTATGTTCTTTTTTTTTTTGGAATGCACGTATATCTTCGCCTGTATGACAATTGAGAAGACGATACGCGCGTAAGAGAGAATAAGTGGCTTGGGGACAAGCGACCTTCCACACATGAAGCAGAGTAGTAGAAAGCGCGAAGAGGATTCTCTTCTCGCTTTCGTTGCAAGCCGCATGATATGCGAGTCACATGGGGTGGAGGGAGAATCGCGGCACCGTGCGTGCTCCAGAAAGGATCGAACTTCCTAAGCTCGCGCGAATTTCTGAATGAAGGCAGCAGGATGAAAGTCGTCGGACTAGGACATCTAATGCATACGCAATATGTATAGAAAGCTTTGCGGTAAATTTTTGGGGTAAATGCATTTTATAAATGCGTTATTTAGTACAATTATTGTTTACATTTATGTTTATCAGATAGATAGACATATCGAATTATGCACAGGTATCTGAAACCATGCGTGAAATAATCTACCCCTAATTATTAACTATAAATGTTACAAATTCACAATTTTCTTTCTCGATACCATTACTCTATTGGTAACAATTTTATCTATTTGCATAAATGCACGCAAAGCTATGGCTCCATATAAATAAACATTGCAATAATATAAATTAAGAAATATAAAAATGAGGACATTACTGAAATATGTTTCCTTCCCGAGCCAGCACTCAGTTCTCGCATTGTAATTATTTAAAATATTATTTATCGTTGTAAATATCTCTACTTTAGTAATTAAACAAAAATATATCGGCCGTTTGAATCAGTTATAAAGTAACTAGTCGGCAACAATTATCAATTGAAATTAATTAATACTGTTCAGGACATTCTGCAAAACGTTTGAATCAAATCTTCGCGTCATTAACTTTTATTAGAAAAGCAGGAAAAAACTACCAAATTCTAAAGGGTTTCAAATGACTTGGGAAGCTATCACGACAGCAAGGTTGGTCAGGAGATAGGTTTCGCTTGTGCGACACTGCTAAGCAGGCAATTCAGATGCGGCGATAGACTCAAAGGGTTAATGTAACAAAGGCATATATTCCATGAGGTCAAAGGTCTCCCATGACGGCTAACCGACGAAAATTCCACACAAAGAGGTGACACACAATTTCCTTAGAGATTCTCGGTAACTTTTAGCATTTGCTTATTTAGAAATGTAATCTACACTCTATATTGAAAGGTGTGTATAATAATTTAACTCTTTAATCTGAATCATTTATTTTAAAAAAGTTGTAATTATAAGGTTTTTTTGCACTTACACTGAAAAAAAAACTTTTTAATATTTAAAAAGCCTTACTTGAATACTCCCAACAACATATTTACTTAATATAATCACATATTTATTTAGAATTGGATATCTTTACTTAAATTAAGTTAGGAGTATTCAAGTAAGGCTTTTTAAATAGTAAAAAATTTTTTTTTCAGTGTAAGGATCAAGAAATCTTATATTTCAATATCTGTTCTTCATTTGAATTATAACTCTGTTATCTTCAACGTACAGAAAAACAAATAAATTATTCAAACAAGTAGTATAATTCAGGCAATAAAACGTAATACTATTAGGGGTAACAAGAATATAAAAATAAATTACATTTCACATATATTTTCCTAGATGTGTGAAATTATTAGTCGTGTGAAAATTATTCATTTAACATATTAATAAATTTTACTATCTAGTTAAAGACAGGAGATTTGGTAAATATTCGTTAAATATTAAACACAAGTGCGTATTTGCGAGAGTTTCGCACTGCGCAAACGATGCTCCCGGGACCGAAAAGCTCGTACACTTATGAAAATGCATCGTGCATTAGTCGACGATAAATTTCCCTGGGTCAGGAAAACGAGTGCAACGCAGTCTATTACGCGCAATGCTGCAGCGTAATTAATATCTGTGCGGGAATACACGAACAGATATGTGAACCATCTGATTACACGGCGAAGTAAATCTATTTGTCTGGCACGGTTGAATAAAAAAATATGACAGCCAATGGAGCTGCGCAAGTTAATTTGGTATACATATACTCATAAAATATCATTCTAAGCCTTTGTTCCATATGATAAATAAGATAATGTAATTTCACGAAGCAACGCGTAAAAATGATATTATTGATATTAATTGATTAAAATGTTAGAAGAATATTTGGTGAAAAAAATACTGAATACATATAGTGCAACAAACCGTATTAATCTGCAAGCTTACGTAGATAGGCAGGTATTGAATTATATTAAGTAAACCGACAGTTTATTATATATGTGTAAACAATTTGAGTAATATAACTAAGTGAGGCACTTAATTATATTAACGCGCGCGGCCGCAGCACGAACAAATGCAATTCCTAGTAAACATGATATATGGGCGACATTATAAAATTAATTGCATACGGAAAATAGAAATCTCCCACTTTGCCGTTTGCTAATTAAATACGTACCGTTTGCCGTAGAAATTCTTTTCTGTTTGTACATATCTCTTTAAAGTAATTAATTAGTTTGCTCGCCGGCGTTTATTTAAATTTTTGACAGAGTAAAATGCAATTAATATTCCAACGTTTCAGGCGCAGAACATGCGCAAAAAACAAAAAACAAAATGTTTATAGATTCCAACTGCGATGTATATATATAAATATATAAATATTATATAATAAATATACGTATACATAATCATATTACTTGATTATTTTTTTTATTCAATATAATCACGCAAAATTTCAATTAAAATAATATAGACCAACTTTTTAATGTAGGCAGTTTAATATAAAGGTACTGGTGAGAGTTGATCGATCTATTGGACTAATTCACCTTATTTCTTTCAAAGGATAACGGCCGCGCAGGTATTAGAAATAGGATTGATATGAGCTCAGGCTTCTTGTTAGAAAAGCAAAAGCGTTTTTTAAAGGTCAAGTTATCAGGACAACATATCATGGATGGAAATTTCAAAGCCTGCAAGAGTAAATAAACTTAGCTTGTGTTCGATAAAACTTCGATCACTTGATTAAGCAACAGGATTTCATCTTGTCAACGGAACGAAAAGCATGCCATCTTACGCGCATATTAAGACAGATAATTAAAAGTTAAAAATATCACATTTGTAATTATAATAGTTGTAAAAATGTGAGATAATATTGTAATAGAAATGTGATAATAATCACAGAATTTATATAAACTCAAATAAAAAAAATTTATATAAATAATTATTTTGTGTCAGAAAATAAAGCATTTAAAAAAGAAACAGATTTTCCAAGCTAAAGTTTAATCTGACAATTTTATATGAAAGAAACTTTTATATGAGAAAATATCTTTTATGCAGATAAATAAAACGGATTATTTTTGAAAGAGAAGATTGTAAAATTTGTGACCTCAGTATCTATATATTTTTCGCATGATATTCATGAAAATATTTCTAAAAATTCGCTTATTAGCTGCACTTACACGCTTATATTCAGCCAATTGATCCATTAATTATAGAAGACCCGTATTTATCATATTAACAATGGAATTACTAAAATAGATGAATGTTCCTAAGAATAATCCTTCAATCAATATCTCAATTTACGGAATGAACAATATTAGCTCTTGTAGCATATAATGTAAAGCTAAATAGTTAATTTATTTCAATAATTTAATCAATATTGATATTGAACAAAAAAATTAGTAGATAAAATATGTGTTAAAGTTAAATATATCTAAATCTTTTACTCGTATCAACGAAAAATGTTACGGAGCTAGGTGTCTACATCTAGCTACCAAAGAGAGAGCTAGATGTAGACCTTCATAAATTTCAGACTCAACAATGCATTCGAGTGCAATTGTGGAGGGAGGAGCGTTTCCGGATAATCGCCTGATAATTCTCAGTCAATCGATAAATCATTCCCAACACGAGCAAGACGCCTTTCCGTGGGAGCGGCAAACGGCCTTCGCGTTCGTGAAAAGGACGAGACAATGGCCGGGCCTCGTGAACGACCGATCAAGGCCGTTTCCCATGGTTGGAATGGGTCAATGGCCGACACCACGATGCTCATAAAAGAGCACATGGGACCTCTTCGTCTTCAGTTTCGCGGCAGTTCTCGTGCTGTTTGGATCGTCTTGCATTTAATGCACGTATGCGCGACATCGACTTTGACGCAGTTCTTGCGCTTTGAATGTTATTCACGCTTATTCACGTGATTTATTGTAATTTCTATAATAATATAATTAACAAACGTATCGTAATAATCGCGGAGTTTATCCATCGCGCTTTTCTTACTTTATTCTTTCTTTTTATGTATCGAGAAAGTTTGTGAAGTTTTTTCTTTTTGTCATGTGTGGTGCTAACTTATTAATATTTATTAATATTTGAAGCTGTACTTGATATTTAACGACACTTTGCAGATAATCTTTTATCGCACGTCGAACATAAGTTTGACGAGACGATCGATCGGTGATGATAGCTTATCACGCGTGTCGTAATATTGTTCCCACGGTATATATTATGCAAAAATTACTTACCCGACGGGTGATTAGATTGCAAATTGTAGTCATCGACTTGTAACGTGCTGTTCGGCCCAGTTCTGCTAAATCTAACCACGTGATATTGGTTGTCGTTAACTTTCACGCCAACCTCGCCAATCGGATGATCGTTGGTGCCCATATTATAAACCGCAAAGACGGTACCTTCCACCTGCGACATGAATAAATTATTCATTTCTATTACAGTGACATTTAGTTCTTGATTCCAATCGGATTAAATCATTGGAATAGAAGCTTATAGAATCAAATAAATTAATAGATTAAAGGGAATGCTTGAATAATTGATATATAACATGCTAATTCTTATTACAGATCTAATTATACGCCACACAAAATCGATTTAGCTAATAATATATCTATATATACATATACATATTAAATTGTATGTATAATTATAGATGTATATATGTATATATCTTGTGACTATTGGAAAAGAAATTATATATACACACATATATACGATACTTCATAATAAATAATAATACTCTATAATATATTCAATTTTATCATATACTAACAATTTCGATTTCGAGATAATCGTTACTCGATGCAGATTCTATCCTAAGCAGTACAGCGTCGTTAACACTAGTGACGAAACCCAAAGCCACAGTATCCATCTTCATTTCCGGCCGACGATCAGGCGGAAAGGTATACGTGATAATTCCTCTTCCGGCTCCAAATTCAAAAGCGACAGCCTCTGCAAAATGAGAAACATTCCGTCGTTAAAATAACATTTCATATGTTACATATTAAATTTCAATGCCTGTTGAGACTGTTTTCGTTGTAATATTGTCAGTTTAATTATCATTATGCCGCATAACTAAAATTAATTAAATTTTCATTCTAACTCTAGTGTATTTCGAAAAGTGTTTTAATGATTTCGACAAATTTCTAAAAAATTTATTAGTTTTATCAATAACCGCGATTAATTATTCGGAAAAATATTTATTATCCCGGAAAATATATCCAATGAGAGAAATCGATTCTATCCAAACTATGATAATTAGTTTCGCATCCTTGTAATATTTATTATACTACAGAATAATCCGATAATGGTAACAAATTTTAGTAACTTTATAGGTCGTATTATTAAAATATATACGACATATATAGAGTTGTATGGGTAGATATCAAGCGAGATAGCATATTTAATAAACACATAATAAAATATTAGCTATTAATTAATTAGCAATTCTGTTTGTAAAAAGAACAGCACGAATAATCTCTTTCTCTCTCTCTTTCTCTCTTAAGTGCAAGTACGAGCTGCCTTATATATTTTCTCTTTTTTTCTAATTCTTTTACCATCGTTACAAGTCGGTCCGGTAAAACTCGTCATGTCGCAGTCGCATGTATAGCTATTCCACTGCTGCACGCATGTCCCATGATTGGCACAGAGATCATGAGTGCATTTCTTGCCCGGATGCAGGTTGGTGTAAATGTCGCATCCGGATGTGACGAGGGAACTCGGCACGACGGCATCGGTAATAAGATCGGTGCTTTCCCCGCTGAGATCCAACGACGCCAGACATCCCTCGAATCCGTGACGGCTGAGAATCTGTTTTGGTAATATGCCATATTGCGTCTTCTCCACTCCACCTAAAAAAAATGTTAAATATTTTTTATGAAATCATCCTTGATTTAAAAAAATAGAAATTTTCTTTTTTTTACTAAATATATCTGTTTATGCCTTCAAATTTATTTAAAATATCACTTAATCATTAAACCTCAAAAGAACGGACATTTAAACCTTTTACATCTGTTTGCATTGCGAGTCGCGACATAGAGCTTGTCGGAGATTAAATTGTCGAAATGCAGACAGGATGTCGGCGTTTGACGTAAAATATCGAAACCGAAATTCGGTAGTTAAATCGAAATCATTTCTCTCTCTCGCAAACTCTCGCAGCCTTGTGATATCCACAGGCCTCTCGGCAATCGCGGATATCGCGGGTGCCCGACGAACCGAGACGACCACACGTCCGGTCGATCTCGCCGCCATAAATCCTGCGGGATCGCCGAAAATTATTTCGACGGTCACACATTATATCTCGTATGATACCGCGTGCAGGAACTTTGAAAACTCAACCGCGCGGCCAATCAACTCGTATGCAGTATGAAATTCTCTCATTCAGAATGCTAATGTACTTAAGAGAGGTTTTACGAATAAAACAAAATGCGATACCGCAGCATCCTTTTTTTCTCTATTGTAACATGTAAAAATACATAAAATAATTTTAAACAATAAATTTCGATAATAAACTTTGAATTATTATCCTAGCATTATGTTCGGAAGCTACTAAGAATATCTTGATGCGACAGTGAACATATACGTTCAATCGGAGTGAAATTCCAGCTGCAATTTTTGCGTGGAACCGATGTCGCGACGCGATTTGGCAATCGCTATTGAAGAATAATTAATAGCTGATTTGCCAATTTATGTCAGACCGACGGTGATCGATAGATTTATTAATGAATTAAGCAACGGGAACGGTATGATATGGAGCTAATTAATGGTGATTCATAGCGCGCTATGCTGATACGGTAACTGAATTTCGGATCGTTAGTCCAGACGTACATCCAAAGATCTACTCACTATTAATTAGAAATGCAAAAATATTTGCATCATGAACGCTTTTTTGTTAGCCGACATTATCGTTTATGTAAAATCGCGATGCTTGACGTTTCTGAAAATCAAACTGTATTATCTATCGTTAAAATCATAAGCTTTTTCACTGTAGTTGCGACATTGTTTTCCGTAAGTACCGCGAATAATGGAAAATGAGACAAGATATTGTAGATAACAGAATGGTTCCATAGATGTGTTTATTACAAAGATAAAATCGACTAATCCCCACTTGGATTTACTACGTTATTTGTTGTTTGAAAAGTCATCCGCTTACACAACGCGGTAATAATCGTCACGTGACATCTCTTCGCAAAGTCTACTTCTCTTCTGTAGCCTTCAGATTAATCGTGCAGTTGCATCAGAAGCGCAAAGAATTCCGACAATAAATAATTATCCGCGTCGCATCGTATGGAACGGCGAATGGCAATGAAAAATTAAAACGGTCGAAATGGTACATTATTGTGACAGAGAAATTGCATCAAGTTACATTTGATACCTAAATTAATAAGGTAAGTCGATCAGTTTTTTTTTAGTCGATAATGATTTAGTCTAAAAAATTCGTGATAATAATGACGATTATACAAACAAAGCACTAAAGATAACGCTCAGTAATTCATCCGCCGATAATCAAAATATAAATATGAGTTCATAAAATAAATAGAGATGAGTCACTGATACGGTTCATTGGCGCGTATACATATATTATAGTAGTGTATTATAGAAAATTCTAAAAAATAAAAATATAAAATGTTATATAAGCATTTACGCAAGTATTTCGAAAATTGACCAGTGACGTAAAAGCAAAAAATTCTAATCGTCATTTACAACTCTACAACATGTGTCAAGGCTAGCATTATCGAAGGCATACAGTATAAATAATTACCCAGAGTAAGGCTACCTTATCAAACGTAGAACGATATGAGATGGTATGAATATATTTGTAACATTTTGTGACTCATGATGCATATTTGTATATCTAAGAAAAAAAAGTGTCAATATTTTATGAATATCTATTATCTTCCATGCAGCGATTTCAGTTATATTCTATATTAGTTATATTAATACATATTTTAATAGAATGTTGAATTTTTCAACCTGTTAAGATAATTAGATAAAGTTATTTTAGCTTCTCGAACAGTCTTTTATAAGAAAGCTCTATCTTACATTTTTGGTTTATATCTTCATACATAACTTCTAATTATTAATAAAAGGCTATCCTGTATAAGCGACTTAAAAAAATTATTATAGAGATTAATCACATTCAAGTGCGTTTTTATACGTTTATGATTAAAACTAGACCGGTCGCGCTCTTATCAGCTAATATCGTTTATCTCAAACGGCATACTCTCGGTTGAGCTATCATTAAACCGTAGTAACGCGGCAGGTCTTATTGCTCACAAATTTAATCTTACATTTGCGGGTGCGCTGCGGTCGAATGCCGGATGTGCGACTCGCTGAGTTAGTTCGAATCACGGGGGCCGATCATTTTCAAGCAGTCGTCTATGCATCATTATCGAAAGTGCGCGAATTCATAGAGCGCTCGAATTGTCAATCGAGCTTGTCGGTGCAATCAAGCTCGAAGAGCCAAGACAACGTCACGAGAATCGGCAGAAATCACTCGGGCGCGCGATAAGAAGATAATAGCGACGTTATCACTCTCGTGGATCGTCATAATTCGTCAAATCCCAGACTCGCTAATCACGTTGCCATAGTCGTTGCAGCACGTCACGAGATATATAACTAACTAATCGAAACGCGGAAATTCAATAACTATTATTTTCACAAGTTATCGGTCGTCATGTCTCCTCGCGATCTCGCCTTATGCGTTCTGCTAATGTCGATCGTTCGTTTCTCGACAACGTCGGTCATCCGGCCGCAGAGATTGTTGATCGTGGGGCTCTGGCCGGAATCAGCGAGGAGTCTGGAAGGTATACCGGACAGATGGAGAATGGGGCATCCGCAGTTTAAAGCGCCGCAAATCGAGATACAACTGTTAAAGGGTCACGTCTCGCCGGACGAGAATTGGATGTTCACCAATGAGTACAAATACTCAAACAAAGATTACTAGTACGTATGTATAGACGACGATATGCCTAAAGACTTATGCCTAAAGACATGTTCGTTTGGTTCGGGATGGATTAGTTGAGACTACGTACGATGAACGAATACGTGGGATGTCTCGGAGTTTATTATTGGATTTTCCGAGAAAGCGCATCGCGTGTCCGATATAGGATAAGTCACGCAATCTGAACACGTCATATAAGGCATTTTTGGATCGAATGTATCGTATCTAATATATTCAGAACTATATCTGACAACTCAATATTTTAAGTGTTTATATATACATAAAAGACTGAAAGAAATAATTAAAAAAATAAATAACAAGTTACAGAAAATAAAATTAAGCAGAAAAAAAAAATTCCAAATTTTTTTAGTCAACAAAATGTATGAGACACGACGTGTTCGATCCGGAAATGTGTAAACCAGAACTGAAAGGCATTAACTACGGCGAGTGCACATCGCTAATGCTATAATAGCGTCGCTAATGCGGATAATCTTATACGGTCATAAATCGATTAGTGATGCGGCAAAGGTGACATCGACGAAAGACGAGGAGAAAATCCCGCGAATTGAGAATGACGATATGGAAGCGAGAGAAAATGAGGAAGAGAATGGGCGAGATCAGGATAATATCGTGATGCCTGATGGGTTCATCCCGCCGATTGGATCCAGAAATATTATTACATTACCTTCATCCTGTCCGCCAGGGCAAAGAGAAGATAGTAGAGGACGTTGTAGAACTGTCATGTGAGTTACCTCTTTCTTTTTATATATCTTTGATGATAATCTTTGATTTAAAAAAAAAAGTAATATTTTCTCAACAGAAAATACACGATTTAAATACATATTTAAATAATATGGTTACTACATTAGAAATCCCTAAATTTTAATTTTAATGATAAATTCTTTGACGAATTGAAATTTTGCTATGGAAAAAAGATTTTTGAAACAAATTATTTTTCTTCTTGTCAATATTCGATATGAGATATTTTAACGATTAAATCTCGGCTTTAAATATTTTAAAAGTATTGTTCTACTAAAACTGTGTGAATAATAATGTTCTGTTATTGGATTGTTTTCTAAAAGTTTAATTTGCGTAATATAATTCCCTTAACTTTAAAACTGTTAATATTTGCATTCAGTTTAAGAAAGAATAAGCTTTAAATTGTGTACGACCAGAGTTCTTAATATAAACATTATGACCGAAAGTTTAGGATATTGTCGTATTTATACAAAAATTATTAAGTAGCTTAATCTGTGGAATATAACTATCGAATTCGTAATATGTTCAGTACAAGAGTTTAATAATCGACACTTTTACACTTTTGTTATAGGACGTAAAAGAGATAGACAAAGAGAAAGAAGACAAAAAGGAAAACAGTTAAATAATTGAAGCTCTCCAATTGCCGGTATTTACCTTATATATAAAATCGTACTGAAAATGTACACAACTATTTCGCCTTTATTAATAAAGTGCTATATTAAATTAATACATTTTTTATGCGTCTATATTCAACAGATCAAATATGATTTTATTTAATTGATATGACAGTCTTATATTTGGTTTATAAAATTAGTTATAAAAGTTTTATAAATTGTCAAAAAGAGTTAAAAGTAAATTCTGGTTCTGGTATACGCGCACGCGTATATGTAATTTTCAAAATACATAAGATAAATTCTATATATTCAGCAAGATTATATATCGATATTTTTGAAACATATAAATGTGTTTCCAAGCGCGAGAACTAAATCGTGCGATATATTTATACGGCGTATGAATATTTTGTTCAATAATGAAAGACAGGAAGAAGTAACCCAACATTTTTAAAAGTAAAATTAAAGAACTTAAGAATTTCGCATTTGTTAGCAGTCTTATCACTAAACAGATTTTATGACAAATACGGTAAGCTAAATGAGAATGTAGTTATAATATAATTCATTAAACTAATTAAGAAACCAATACATATAAATGACGTATTTAACTTACACAATAAACGGATTGCAAATGTAAATCACGACTGACTAATTAAATTAAATTAATATCGCGTACACGCTGTTATTTTATTGTAGTAATATCTCTCAAATGAAATTGTCGAATAGAATCCTGATTAATTGTATCCCCGCGCGTTACATAACGGGTGAGCTAAATAAAGAAAATGCGACGTTCAGATTATTACAACTGAACGTTATATAAAAATAAACTAATAATATTAGGAAATATTCTTTAAAGAATTGTTAGTATTGACTATATATTAAACCTTCTTTAACGACCAATTATATTCATATGCAAAATCCATCGTTAGATTAATTTAGTGATATTAATCAAATTTATTTTTGTGCAGCAAGTAAATATTTAAAATGTAGAATTAAACTATATACATGTATGTTATTTCTTCTTTCTTTACTCACCTATATACAAAATGCCATCGAGATCGAGATTCTCGTTGCTGCCCTGACTGTTAACAGCAGTCACATGATCGTCCACAGCGAGAGTGTGTCTCTTTGAGGCAGGTCTACCGATACTGACAGCGTGCCATTTGCCATCGTTCAACTTGGACTTCGAAGTGTCCCTGACCCTGACAGCTCCGTCGCCTAGGTCAAACACGTAGTGCACGTGTCCGTTTACAAGCTCGACCGCAATGAAATCGTGCTCTCTTCCGGCGTTGTAAAGGATCAAGCCGTTTGCTTCGCGAGTTTTGAACTGAAAAGTAATTTATAAGTGTAAGGCAATGAGTTCTCTCTCTTTCTCTCTGCAATTTCATTGAATTATATCCTTTTTACGATTGAACATAGAACTTCCATCATTTGATTATTAAATGTGCAAAAATCTAACAATTTCTGATTTCCTACAATCTTACGTTTTACTAGTTGCTGCGATGCATCTGCAAGGCGCGTTTTTACATAATTAATTTTACATAATTAATAGATATTCTGGCTAGCTAAGATTTTACCAAAAATTGGGAAAAACACGATATAAAATAAACCTTCGCGATTATTTTCTGGATGACCCGGCAGAATCGCTTAATGCCCATGACTCGCAAGAAAAATATCAATTTTCACCTGGAAATAGATGTTGGTCTCCACGTACGCCTTGAGCACCGGAAGACCTACGTAAGTGTGCTTGGAGGTGAAGGTCGCCGGATGGTGAACCGGATGGTTTCTCTTCCCAAACTTGCCGGTGACGCGGATGATGGGCGTGACGCCCTGATGTGAGGCTTGATGGCTTCCAGCGCTGCGCGCAATCTCCAAGTATGGATATCCGTTGAACCAGATCTGCTGCAGCTGGCCCACGAAATGTGGTATGTCCTCGCCCGTGTGAAGATATCCGCCTACATGGAGAGTGCGGAATTCCAAGACGCCCTGCTTCCCCAGCTGCGTTTCCGCTAGATTCGCGCACAAACAAGTTAGTTCGTCACTTGAATTTGAAAGGAATTGAAACGCGAATTAAGTTTGAGTGGAAAATACCGAAATTTGGAAAACATTTACAGTCTTATCGATTAAATCTGCTTTTTAAATAAAAATAACGATGTCAGAGAGTTGCACTAGTAATAATTATGCACGCCTCATTTCTCAATTCTTAAAACATACAAACTCAATTCTTTTATTACTGCGTTTCGATATTGAAAATCTTAAATCCAATAAAATGCATTACATATAATTGTATTAATGATATTTTTTATTTTAGATTTTATTTTTTTTATTCGATATATAGTATAGTATATCTTACTTGAGTATTTATATATACTCGAGTGTTATCGAGAATTTGATAAAGAAATCGATCGAAATTTGCAAAGATTTGTAAATACATGAAACTTTGGTGTTTAAAGTGAACTATTGAACCGCGCTGTGGGCTTAAGACAGGAACCACATGTGTTTCGCTGTGCAGCAATTATCGTCCCAGTGCGATCGATTGCGCCGAAGTAAAGGCCGTGCAGGGCTACTGCAATTTAGGCTATTGCCACCTAACTCAATATTGCCGGCACTCGCCGTCAGTTTAATAGGGTGATCCGAGAGACAGGTTTGCGAGGGTGGCTGTTTCACGGTGGCCGCTGCGGTGGGGTTGTTTTGCAGGGGCCGATTCGGGCCAGGCTGATTGGTAAGCCAATCACGTGCGGTTCATATTATCGATATTAATAAGATACGACCGGGATGTGCTCAATTGCGTCAGCGTTCCGTTTCCATTCAAGTATCGCTAATTGCTTTCATTATCTTACATTAACTCTCGCATAAATACACCCACATTACGCGGAATATTTAAAATAGAATCACTGCTTGTGTGTGATACTCCCTGAACAATTCTTCACGATCCTCCCCGAGCCATACGGTCTTATACGTCAATTTAAGCACAGTGACCTTAATGGTTTACCAACACGATGCTCGCGATATTGGCAAAGGCGCAAACGGTTGTAACGATGCTATCGAACGGATAATATCGGTATCAAAAATATTGACTCCCACGAGGAACGTATTAAGATCCCCGATATATCGATATTGTTTGCTCATCCGTATAGCGCGTCCGTCGTTCGCTAACCGCGGAATTTGCGCGCAACGAGAGAGTCCCGAAGGAATTTCTGCGAAGCGGTTTATCGTTGATGGAATCGCACGGGGGATATAATTTACTTTATACTTGAAACGTCACTTTTGCGACGAAGTGCCTCGAATGCCGCAGACGTCGACCTCCGCCATTGCATCGCGCCGATTCCGGATGCACTTTTCTCGTTGCGCAGCCGGCGGCAGCGTGAAGAGCATTTCGAGAAGTCGGCTCGATAAAAAGCGCATTTGCATGCCCGCGATTTGTAATCCGTCCGCTGGATGTTGGAAAATCGATGGCACTAACTCGTATCTACCGCTCGTAAATAATACGATCGGCGAATCGACGTAAACAGAGAAAAATCGACGGTCTCGGAAACGCGCTCGCGCGCATGGACGAGAATAGTTCTTTGCCTTGGGTGGAATCTATGGAAGAAAACGCGTGCTTCTGCTATTGATCATACGCTTGCTCGGAGTGGCGCAAAATATACCCGAAAACGTAGAGTAAAACTTCTTTTTACACAAAACTCCACTTTCGTGGTTCATTATAAAAATACCGAGTTTGGGAACTTTTTAGGAGATTCTATAAGCAGGAGCATTCTCCTTCGCTCATATAAAATGTCTTTTTACCCCTACTTAAAAATTAATCTGCCTTATATCTCATTCATTGTACTTTGTCACTCGATCGCCCCAGGGATGTGCTTTATGACTGATACTGACAAACATATCTCTAGCATTTACAAACAGAATTTCCGTCTGCTGATATATTTTTCACGACTACTAGGTGCAATAACGATCGCAGCCTTGGAAAATCTTCGATTAGCATTCATAAGAGTGTCTCGATTCGAAGGGTCGCCGACGGAATGCAAAAGCGGACGCACTGCGCGATGCATTTTGAATTTGTGATTGCAGGAGGGTCGAGAGCACCCGCGGGAAACTTGTAATTTATCCGATAGAGGAAGTGCAATCGGAAAAGGTGAAGTTTTAAGCTCTATCAAAATTGAAGCCGCGATATAGTAATGCCTAAAAAAAACGAACAGGATAGTGCAATTTTTTTAACCGTTTCTTGAAATTGATCAAGCACACAAAGGAAACTATTCATTAACTGGTAATTATTTGTATTATATTAATTAAATATTCTTATTTGCATATGCGGGAGACTGTATAATTAATTATTTTATTATAATTATACATTAATTCGCTCAGAATGATTGTGCAATGAAATTATGAAATCTACATATGAATGTCGCATAGCAGAAAAATGCAATTCGGTGATTCTCTTTGTTAGATACGCGTTAAGCAAAAAATTATTTTTATCGTTAAATAATCGCTTGTTAATTTCGTATATATTATTCAAAATTTAGATAAACATTCAGAATATACTACAACCGACTGTAATCAATTATTGCATAATCCAATAATAATCAGTATTAAATTTTTATAAGCATTAAACAAATACTATTTCATTTATATTATTTAAAGAATAAAAGCTTGCAGTTCTATTTAAAAAAGTATAAATAATACATATTATATATTTTATGTATATAAAAATACAAAATACTTGAAAAATCTGTTTTCAAATATTTCTCTGCTTCTCTCTCTTTTTTTTCTTCGTTTTACTATAGAGTGACATCAATCTCTCTAAGTTTTGTAATATTGCCTATATCGACAGTTTAAAGTGTCAGATAAGCCGTAACGTATGTCTCAAGTTCTTAGTCTCGGGAAACTAGTATTTTGCAACAAACTAGTAGTTTCTAATTTGCCATTTGTCCCATTTACACAACTTACGAGGCGAGTGCGATGAGAGAGGTCTCGAAAACTTACGTGAAAAATTGCCCGAGAAATTTTTAATTTCGTGCGCCCGCTCGTCGATCTTGCGAAACTTTCTCAGCGATTTTCATTAATTATTCAGATCCATGGAGCGACCAAACTGACGCAATTACTCTTGTAGCTTGACAAACCACCCGAAAATATTTTTCATGTGTATAAAAATATTTTTTAAGAATACTCGTGAGACTTCAAAATTTTACATAATTATACTTTCACATATATGAAAAAAGAACATCTGCCAATATCAGACTTAAAAAGTATGTATAGACTAATCTAAGGTGTTACATGTTGTTTTATTGTACATAAAAGATAACGACAAAATTTTTTCCTGACGTTTTAAAGTTGGGTCCTAAAGATAAACAAAATAGAATTGTATTATATTTATAGAACTACGAGATAACTATATTCTTTGTAAAAAAAGATTTTACGTTAATAATTTGCGCGAATTCTCCTGGATTTTCCAAAACAAGGGAAAGATTTGTAAAACTGTCACACCTAATGACTCATTCGATCATCGCCAACAGTGATAGCCGAAAACGACGGGACGATTTAGCTCCGAAATGCTCGCCGTGCCAATTTCCCCGACTCGTCGGTCCGACAAATAACAACACTAATATCGGGGCACAGGCGAGCGATCGCGCGCGGCGGGCGATGATCGAGAGAAGGCGGAAAATTATTTTCCGCGCGAGAGCGTCGTTCCTGCGCGAGGCCACAGCCGCGCGTCGTACGGCGCTCGCATAAATCTTGGTAGACCGAATGATCCCGCCGCGGTGAATCCACCGACTGATAAATCTCGATCTGGAAATTGATTATCGGACAGGAATTCTCCATGGCGCGACTCCACCCTCGCCTCGTGTACACCTGTATTTATACGCTCGGGGCAATTTTGGTCGTACGGTGCAGTTAATCCTTACCCTCTTTCTCTCTCTCTATCTCTTTCCCTTCTTTATCCTCTCCTAGTACTCCGCGCTTTCTCGCCGGCCATACACCGGCACACGTACGCGCGTATACTCGACTCCGGCCGAATATTTCTGTTTTCCAATTTCGAGGACGCCATAACTCTGCCACGAGATAATTAAGATCGGCATTCGCATCCATCGTTGTTTGCTTATCTTTCCGCGTGAATGTTCGGTTGTAAATTTTTTTTTTTTTTTTTTACTAGAGAATCTACTACAGAAGTAATTATCTCTCTAGTATGCTCGAGTATTCGATAAGATTTTTGTCATGTAAAAATATTTTTCAAATAATATTTTGAAAACCGTGCAAAGATGTAAAGATTATATATATAAAAGTTATTCCGAATTGCTGACAAAAATTGAAGAAAACAGCGAAAAACAAACAGCGAACAATCAAATATATAATTTCTTACAAAAATGAAAGTTTCGTTTATATTTATATATTCTGAATAATATCGGAATTTGTATCAGTAATTTGTCCTTCCTTCAATATTGCCGTACAATATTGCTGTTGGATGTATCGCGATTGAAAACATCGTGTTCTAAAATGTGTTAAACATGATCCCTCTCATACATCTGTCGACTTTAGTCTCCATGTGTGTCCTTATATCTCTATACATATATTTCTCCGCGACTTTTTTCTCACTCCGCGACTTTCGCCGCGGGGCTTTCGCGGTCGCCGCCACATATTTATGCTAAATAGGGATTTCGAAATATCTACGATATTGCTCCCTTGCACGGGCTCTCGCCTTGGCGAGAAGTTCGAATGTGCGCATGCATACGATACGTAAAGGATCCTTCGAGCCGGCGCAATCGATGCGCGACGTGCAAAGTGCCCCCGTTTCGAAATGTCGTGACAGGGAAATTCCCCTCCCCCTCGAAACTTGCAACACGCCGTATAAGATTTATCGCTGAGAAAGAAATTACTACGTCCCCGTATAATAAGTTTCTTTCGATAACTTGGCGCATCGATGTAAAATTGATTTATATGAGATAATACGCTAAATGTAGTTTTTTTTCGAATATTTATTGATTAATCTTGAATTAACTTTTCTTTTATGAAAGAGGTAATCTTAATCTTGTGTTATAAATAATTAAAAACAAGAAGACTATAATTCACAAGATAGAAAGAAGAGATTCACTCTCAAACAACTACTTTCTTGTTGCATATTAACACTTGGTTTTAACTTTTTCTTTAGAACTGAATAAACTTATATTAATCTGCTTTAAAATAATGCTTCTTTTTTATAATCCCAAAATATAATTTTAAAATTTCAAATAAAATATTGAATTTTTTAATATTTGAAAAACAGAGATTTATATACATTGTAGATTTTCATTTTACTGTAATGTGGAAAAAAGGTGAAGCAAATGCTCTTTGTGAAAGATGGGAAAGGAAGTAATTATTTTGAAGTAAAAGCACATAATACGGGGGAGAAAGAGAGGCGAAAAGAGAAAGCATATCCTGCATGGTAAAAGCATAAAGTAAAAAATGGAAGTGTAATAAAAGCATGAAGCATAAGAGAGCAATCTCGAATGAATAGTCTTTTGATTTTGCAATAAAACGACCACTTGTTTTGTATTTTAAAGCAAAAGCTATTACACTATCTTGATAGCGTATCAATAATTCAACCACAACAATGTTTTTATCTTCATCGTATTTGCTATAATCTTACTAGTAAAATTAAACACTCTTATAGCTTCAAGAATAAACGAGTTCTTTAATATCTTTTGAACAAATAAAAAGCATTAGCTTCATTTTACGATTACAACTTATTGTCTGCAAATTGAAAAGCGTTTCCTGAAGGATCAGAATACCGTGGAAAGTTAATATAGAAATTCTAATTTTCTCGAAGCATAACTCGCTTTTAAGCTCATTACGAATTTAGGTTTAATTACGAGGCAACTTTAAACCGCGTGTAAAAGCTTAAATACGAGAAAACGGTCTATTGATTATAAAAGTAAAACTACTATCATCCATCATATTTCGAGCATTTATAAGAGCGTCACTTAAATAGACTTATCCTGGCGTTTCCGCCAGTGATTATTTCATGAAATTCTATTTTAATGAATACAATAACACATTGAAAAGACAATTCATTCTTCTTAATATCTATTAAACAATAAACTGCTTGAAAATATCATTTGCGATGGAAATAGAAAATTAATTAACAATGAATAATAAAAGAAATAAAAACTTCACGTTTTTGTTCCAATATAATATCTAACGTATAAAGAGATTCTTTTTTACATATTCGGAAACTGATAAGCACTTTTGGCATTTCGCGTTTCTCTCTGTTTTTCTTTTTTTCATCAATGTTCTGAAATAGAATCGTCTTTTTCCTCTCGCTATTCCTCACACCTTGCAATCGAAGACGCCACTTGCACTGCTGCAGCACGAAAGCAATCAACTGTTTTGCATCTGGTACCGACATACAATTTGCTGCACTTTACACGGCATCCTGTTCCCGTAATAATGTAGTTCGTGTTTAAGCTTATTGATTTTTCTTTCAATTTTTAATATTTTGTCACATTTTTACGTTCAACCATTTCATAAATTATTTCCAGCAATAATATTATACAGAGTATGCTTGAATTCTTTTCGAAAATTTTTAATACATATTTGCACATAGCGTAAAATATTAAATATAAAAAAATATATATTAAGTAATTTGTAGCAAAAATTTTTTAATCTTAAAAAATATATAAGTATATGTTTATTCAAGTCTAAAATCAATTTAAATTGCGGGAGAAACGTTATTCATTTTCCAGTTGTCAAAAATAAAATCTCACGTGAAAGAAATTTATTTTAAATTTTCAATTTATATTTTGCACAAAACCATTTATTTCTCGATATTACTATGATTTTAACACTCTATACAAAACGCACGTTCCGCATCAATAAACCGCTTTATGAGTTTTGAAATCTCGTCCTACGAAAATTGCGTATGCAACGATGTAATTTATTGGCTTTAATAAAGTATACGTTCCTTTGGAATATAATGGTTCTTCGGCCGCTATCGCACTTATCGTTAGTGATATCATTTCATGTATGTACATACCTCGTATTGCAGTCTCACTGTCGATCTGGAATTTAAGTGAATTGAATCGTCTGGAGAACCTCAGTGTATGCCACAAGTCATCATTGAGACCTTGCCCAGCTGTCAATAACTGAAATAAAATAATATCTTTAAAGCTATTGCATCCTTTATTTAATAAAAAGCTCTCTCTCTCACTTTTTTCTATCAAATATAAATACTATATTATACTGATTTTATATAGAAGAAAATGTTAAAGTAATTGTAGTTTTGTACAAAAAGTTTTGAAGAAAATTCAGTAATTATAATATTTTTGTCATAACAGAATCCTTCTCCTTTTCCTTTATTTTTATTTTATTAAGAATTTATTGAAACAAAGTCGGTAGATATATGTATGCGCACTGAGGTCTCCAAATTTTATCGCATTTTTACAACGTGGCAACGTCATTGTGTCGCAGGTTTAACGCTATCGATAAACTACCTCTATGAGATGCCTGTCATTCGGCCAAGTCCCATAAATCCAAGCAACTCGTCACTATCTGGCACAGTCCCCATTGCAATATACGATATCACGCGTTGTGTGACACCTGACGCACGTTTGTCATCTAACGTCATCTATGCATCGCTGGTATTGCCGTCGAACATTATCACAAGTACTAGCTTATCGTTTAATTCGTGTCAGTCGCTAAAAATATTTGCTCTACGTTTAATAAGTAAAAATTTTAAAATAGCTTTCTATCGAATTTTCTTTCCAAAAGAAATCAATTTTAACTTTCATCAGAGCCTTTGTAGATAAACCGAAATTTGCAATACATGATAAATTGACCTCATAAATTGGACAGTATTTTTATCAGACTATTTCTCTCGCGCTGTCTTCGAAACTGTCCTAGCTTTATTTAAATGAAAGTCGAATTGTATATCAAGTGACAGATCTAACTTTATGTAACGTAGAACACGATAATATACATATATATGTAACAAATGTTATGTAGATTGTAAAATTAAGTACAGTTCCTGAAAGAGATTTCACCAGAATAGATCTCATAAATAATTTTTTAATTTAGAATGTTATTAAATACAACTGTGCCATTAAATAACTGTTTTAATAACCGGGACAATAACAATGCGCTTGTAAAATTTTATCTTTCTTTCAACGTGAATATAATGGGCAAAGTCAAATAAAGTAATTAAAATTGAATAAAGTAATTATATCGGAATAATAGAATGGAAAAATAGAATAACCGGATAAATGTGATGATGTTTTTATAATAAAAGTAACAGTGATGCTTCAATTAATAAAATACCTACTTTATCATCATGATTTATACAATTTCCTGCTGCCCTCAATAAAAACGATTAATAAATTATCGAAAATCGCGGATAATCTCACGTTCGAGAAAAGCTTGCGGTTCGAAGCCGCCGCGATAGAAATCTTCGTTGAAATGTTCTCGAACTTCCCAGGAACTTTGCGGAAATCTGGTTTTCCGTAGACTAATCGTCGAGCGCCGCATTATCGTATCAATTATTCCGTCCAATTAACGAGTCCGTGTAGGTACAGAGATTGAAACATTACCGTAAATTACCGTGCGCCTTGTACGCTCGCGCTTATACGCGTGTACTTGTAGACCTTGCCACGTTGGCTGCTCATCCGCGCGCGATACGAGAGTTCCAAATGACTTCGACCCAAGATTGTTAATTCTAGATTAGCGCAATATCTATTTAATACCCGTAATAATAATGCCGCACGTTTGATCACTGCTTCCTGACAAGGTCTCCTCAACGCTTAGCTTAGATGATCCATAATTCGAGATAGAATTCGGAATTAAGCTCTAAATATAACTTCAAAAACTATAACTGTATGAGAACAATTTTGTGTTATTGTAGCCCGAATATACATATACGTATATTCGGGCTACAATAATAGACGTACAATTACGTTCAATTCTTATTCCATATTTCGTCTTATTAATTATTAAATACCAGTCAAACCAATCAATGGCGAACATAACATATAATATTTCACACACGTGAGAAATAAATATATTCGAAAGTGCCAATGTAAGGGAAGATAAGACAAAGAGAAAAATAAATAGTACATTTATACGCATCATCTAATGAAATAGCTGGAAAATCGAATCGGCCGATTTACTGCTCGTTCGACCAGAAGCGTCGAGATTGTAGAATTGCTTATGTATTTCCACGTATATGCGGACGGTACAAGGGAGGGATGGAGTGCTGGAGATTGCGTGAACGAGAGATTGCAGGATGCATTCAGAAATCCATTTGGCTCCCGGGAAAACGATCGATGGAGCAGCACGAAAACGAGCCTTACGACCTTGAGATAACACTCTTGCTAATTCTTAGAAATTTCGATAAAATTTATTAATTGCCTGAGATAAAATATTTTATAACAGATTTACTGTGTATCTAGCATGATAATTATCAAAATTACTTGAATATTTTATTCGTAATCTTATTTTATTAAATTATTGTCTTCGCGGATTTACTTATCCTGAGGAATAGCATTATTCTTAAAAAATATAAAAGTTCCTGAATCTTAGGTAGGTTTTATTATTGTGTTTAGTTATGAAATTTTTTCTGTTACACGACCAAGAGAGAGTTAATGTAGCAAAGCGTGAAAATCATTGTACGTTATTCTATACTTCGCGAGCAATTGCCGGGAATACGTTTTACGCGTCCAACATTACCGTCAAAAAGAATATTCCGTTACACGGAGATGAGAGCCGCCAGCCGTTTACTTGGCGGATGTTGCTGCGGGTGACGTATTAAGTTAACGTCATGATGTTGTTCGCAACGGGAGAACGATCTACATCAACTATATTGGGACGACGTTCAACATCGGGGATGCTTCGGGAATGTAAATCTTCATGGACCACGCAAGGTCCTTTAACTTCTGATGCTCGTTGACATTAAGTAGATCGAATTTGTCCAAGATAAATCCAATATCTTGCCTTTTCAACAACGTGTCTTTATTCGCGCGATAAGGTTTGTTTAAATAACATTTATAATAAAACTTAGCGTTCACAAAAAAATTCTTAGCAATGTCCGATCTGATATGACATTAAACTGACGTTATAAATCGGCGAAATAAGACGGTTGTTGAGAAAGACATAAAACGGTAATTAATTAAAAAAAAATCATCTTTAAAGTTTTTGCATTTAATAATATCCAACAGTCTATTGTATCACTCTGAAGGAAACGTAAATACTTATCGCGAATTAATTTTCTTATCTTGTAGATTATATAGCTAAATATCTCTGAATAATCTTACCTTTTCTTGATCTCCGATGTGAATCAGCGAGTGCGCCTTGCCCTCATCTAGATAAATCTGCAAACGATCGGCGTTGTTCTCGAAGTTAGTCGCTAATAGAAGGCCGCGCGGTCTCGTCGTTTTGAATCGCACGACAATTTCCTCCGCCTGCGTTCTAGAGTCCTCCGGCATCAACGCCGTCATTTGTTGCGTGCCGTTCAGATGCAATGTCGACGCATCTGCGATAAAATATAATAACTTAGTAGGATTAGAAAACTCGTAAATTACGAACTCGCGAAATTCATTCAGCTTTCAGATGCATATAAGATATCTCAGATTTGTCAGATTATTATTTTATAATTAAGTTTTTTTTTAAGCCGAATTTACTGTGAAAGCATATCAGAGCATATTTTCATTTTGAGACAAAGGGCTATTTTGAAAATTATACATAATTAAAAAATATATATTTTTACCTTTGCCACAAGTGGGTCCCGTAAAAGGCGTGCCAGTACAATCGCAGTGAAATCGATTCCAACCTTCGAGACAAGTGCCGTCATGCATACACGGTTTCGAAGTGCAATGCGGGGGTTGAATGTGACATGCGGGTCTCACTGCACCTGTAAAATGTATGAACAAACATCGAGAAATATTAAAGAATTAGTCAACTTAATGCAAAAGAGTATATTTATGGTCTATAGTAATAAATAATTAAAAGTTCACTCATACTGTTGTCATTTGTATATACATTACTTTAGTCAAACAATTCTAAATTAGGGACTTTTACAATTCAAAATAAATTATTATTAGTTGCTATCGGGTATTCATAATTTTTTGTGTCAAATAAAAAATGCAGTTTACATATCAATACAGTAGAACAAACAGTAGAAAATAGTCAAATTTATGCGATTTATCCGGAAATATTTTCTATTTAAAAGTTTTCAGATAGAAGTAAACAAAATTTTATTTATTCTGTCAAAACATATTTCTAAATTCTTATAATAATTAAAAATACTGATCGTATGTTTAATCGAGAAATGCAAAAAAAAATTAGATAACGCTTGTCAGGCGTTGAATGTGCTGCAACGAACTTTTTTTCCGATAATAAAAAAATCGCCTCTACTCGTCCTGTATAAATATTAGCAATACCGCATGCCGCAGGATGTTTTTAGTAATAAATAGTTAACAAACATGGTTATCTCGTGTAGAACAGAATAATATTTCAACAACAAGTAACTATGGTTTGATTGTTACTTTTAATTACGTTATTCCAGATCTATTATATATCAGTGCTCTCGAATAAATGTGTTATGTTAATTTAAACATTATTTAAAGATATTATATTTAAAAAAACCTGCACAATTAATGCTATCTATTAATAATAACCTGCGATAGATAATATTTAGACAATCCTGTTGTAAATGTTATCTAATAAATGTAATCAAGAACTACAATTTTGAATATTATTACGTAGATTTCGTATTATTTTTTGTCATCAGTCAGATCGTTATTCTTTTTTGGCGGAGAATTTTTTTTGTTGGTTTCGTATCATTTTAGGAATAAATGTCAAAAGTTAATTCGCTTACCCGAATCCTGCTGCTGCGCATATCCCGCGATGTCTACTGGATGTCCATTAATGACGAGATCTCTCATGCAGCCCACGTAGCCCTGTCGAAGGGCGCCCGTCCACAAAACGGGCGGAACAGTTAAGGGCGCAAAAGGCGCACCCACACCACCAATATATAACAAGCCATCCAAGTCTAATTGCGTGGAATCTCCTGTCAGCAATTAATTGCATTATTAATACGCGTTCCATCAAAAACTATTATGGACTACTTGCGTGACATAATCCTAAACTATAGATATAGAATAAACTAAGAGAAACTAATAAAGAAATCAACAAAAATCTTGGAAGCGTAATACGAAAAATTTTAATCATTTTCAATAATTACCGGAACAGAACAAATAATGAATAAAGAAACAATCTATGCAGCGTGTCGATCATATTTAGCGAGCACGATAGATCAATTAAGATTGACATTTAATAAAGTCGTATACACTGTGCGACATCAACATCGATTCTGAACTTTTATGAAATGTCGACTAAATTGGGAGTTTTTCATATTTTCTAATATTTGAAACTTACTTTCGACATTTCGTGTCATATCGAAACCTTAAAATTAGTAAATTTAACACTTAACAGTTTTGACATATTTATATATATATCCCCCGTACCTTTTTCTTATATTTATATTCTGCTAGTTCTAAAATCTCGGTGCAGATTTTGTTTTCCTTTATATCGCGGTTAAACAAATTATTTCGTAGAGAACGCGGAAGGCAAAGATCTTTTTCGGTTTTCAACAGTGATCCACGTTATTTGCTCGCGGTTTTACAGGAGCGCAAGGACGGAATTGCTCCAAGCTACGTTAGTATGATTCAAAGGAGAGTTTTGTCGGCGAATTAACCGTCCGTGTAATTCGGCTAACCGCGACAGGCTCTGGTCGTGGTATAAGATGAAAACGGTGACAGTCTGACTAAAGTTATAAATTTATCTCTGGCCGAATGTGTTCGGTGAGAGAGAGAAGTGAAAGAGAGCGGAAAGAGAGGTAGGCAAATAGGTATATAAATGGAAAGACGGAAAGAGACGGAGAAATTTATTGCGTATTTCGGGATAATTTTCCTCGAACAACGCAATTCAATGCAATCTGCCATTTGGTAAATAAAACGTGACATATAAACCAATTAATAAAGTAGGTTATCGAATATGTACGTGTTTGATTAACACATAATACTCTTTCCGATTTCACAATATTCTTTTACAGCGTATTGATCTATTTGCGAAAATAACACAAAGTTTCTGCGATTATCTGACACGAGAGATTGTTTCAAATATAAAAGTATTATTGAGTTTGACATTTAACACGTAGTGTGTGGCAATGGTAAATTGTCTGTTTTAACCTACATGAAAAAAAAAAATTGAGAGGAAAATGTAGAGAGTGCAGGGAAGTTGCTGATGAGCGACAGAATTAACAGGACAGCGGAAACAAGTGGATAACTTAGTCCTTCGCTCGGCGAATTTCAGAGAAAAAACCTACCACTATTCTGTACAGCGCAGTTAATAATTTATTATGCGTTAATTAATATTTGACTTTAGACAGTCAGTTGAGTTAGGCAAAAGTTGACATTATCAAAGAATTATAAAAACACGTGTACATTTCATGTAACGAGAATAACAAAGAATGTTTGATCATTTAATTCAGCCAGATAGATGTTCTATTGAAATACAATTGAAAAAGTGAGGTATGTATTATCGCCGCATAATGCACGGTCTTTTCTAAATGCAATGGCATTTCAATTACAGGAATACATGTACATGTTTGTTACGTTGAAATATGCGTGGATATATGCAAGCTGTTCTGGATTCATCGGATATCCGGTCTCGCTACGAATTCTACGGTTGAATCGGAATAAATTTTTTTCTGTCTAAATATATCGAGACACTTATCGTTTTTGTGTAATTAATGATTAATGATTCTTTTTTAGATATTTTGTTTTGTGTAGATAATGAATTGAAGTGTGTATCAAAAGTTCCTTATTCATTTCTGCTTTTTTACCTGTTAGTTGTGTTATTATTTTTAACACAATTTCTCTGTTGGTATTACACGCATTAATCTTCGAGTTTGCTAAATCTTTTTAAAAAAGGAACTAGCGACAATAAGTACTACAGTAATATCTTCAGCGAGCTAAGTCACCGTTATCTGCGAGAGGATATATGGATCCTGGCTGTCTCAATGAAATTCCTTTTATCGTTTTTGCGGTATCGTTCACGTGTTTGCGGCCGTACATACGTAGTGCTTTATCACTTAGCCACGGTGCGGTGAGTAAATTCTGGACATCGTGGTCCACCGACGTAAACGGTGAGCTGAGCGGGCCGAGCCACTCATAATTCAGAGTTACACGCTCGAGGACACTTATCTGCCAGGCCGGGGTTAGACACTTTATGTATACGGTGAGATAGCTCTTTTTGAAAAACTGCTACTGCACGCATAAATACACTGCGATAAGCATCGGCAATTCATCGATGGTGTAATTCGTGTTTTAAGAGAGGTATTAAGCGTTCTTGTTCCGGAAATATAAATAATATCAAGAGATTATGAAATATAAATAATTATTAATAAATTGCCTTCCGCAAAATATAATATTACGTCACAAAATCGCGACTAATATATTTTTTAAGTCAGAGTATTTTCTTACGTAATTTATACTCATACATGTTTTCTATTTTAAAAACTTTGTTTTTTTTTTGCGGTTTTCGAGTTCAGTGATATATCTCGAAAAGATGAAATGTCAGGCAGAAAGAGTTACATTCGTTACCTGGCGTACGAAACTCGACTGTGTTGCTGTCGACAGTGACTCGACCATCTCTCTCGACTCTCCTTAGGACAACGTCGTGCCAAGAGCCATTGTCCACGCGTGTCTTTGACGATCTTACTTTAATGGGGCCACTCCCGAGATCGACGTGCAGATAAAGATGTCCGCCAAGAATCTCGAAGGCAAACAGATCTTGCTGTAATAAGTAGAAACGGATCCATTTATATTATATTATATTGCCACTTGAACGTAAAGTAAACCATTCCTGCGTGCACACAAGTTTCCTACAATCAAAATACGTCAATGTATTTACTTTTATTATTGGTTTGACTTTTTATTAAAAATTGATTTAATTAACAAATGGAACTATCAATTTGACAAAGTATATTTATACTTCGTACAAAGAGAAAATGGAACAGAAGGTTTCCTGAATATTTTGTGAATTGTAGCCAAATGTGAGATTTTTATTTTTCATCTATGTCTAAAATAAAAAGGACAGCTCATTGTCGCAATTTATTGAGTTTCTGTTACCCTAGCTAGATGGATGAAGATATATTATGTCGACGTATCATTGTTGTTAATAGGATTACGGGTAAATGAAGATGTATTATGGCAACCCAAGTTTACCAACCATCGAAAAAGACTTGTCAACTTTGGTAAATAACGTTTGGTAAATAACATCAAACCGGTTCATATTTTTTTTAGAAATCTAATGCTCTATAACCCTTTCTAATAAAAAAAAATATAATACAAAATATATAATAATTATGTAAAATATTTCAATTATATCTAACTAGAAATTATTTAATATTCATCCATTTGTTTTTTTTTTATAATAAGAAATTATTTTATCTACAAGCTTATTCTTTGCATCTATACCTATCCTAACCATTAACTTAATTTAAAAAAAAAGAAAAATTATAAAAATTGTGTTTTTTGAATTTTATAATACATTAAAAGGAATTTAGGTATTTATAGTATTTGGAAAATGTCTCAAAATATAAAATAATCATAAAATTCAGACGCGAAGGTCGCTGACCGCCAGAACTCATCGATCGTCGGAGTGTCACAGGAGGGTGGAATTGTGCATCGATAATTAAATTACTGTCAGTCGAGTGTGCAACCGCGACTGAAATGAGTTTTGGGACAAAAGCGGATTGTTATTTCGAAAAACGTTTTTAGTAGCCAATAATTGTTGAACGCGTAATCGCACTTTGACAGCCATATTTAGTTTCATTGTCCGAAGTCCTTCTATATTATTCCCCTTTTTTTTGCATAATGAATTACTCGTTTTTCGCAAATATATTAAGAGAAAATTTTAATATTTTACTGTCCATTTGATTTTCTCGTCACAATAATTATTGTAATTAAAAGGGAGCTGAATAAGGCGACGTACCCTCGTGTGCGCTCCGCTGCGGCTGTACATGATCAATCCATTTGGCTCGTTCGTACGAATTTTGAAGGATATAGTTCCGGACTTGGCGGCTTTCCAGGGTGGCAGAACCTGAAACAAATGAGACAGATGGTTTCTACTACGTCGCTCCGGGTCCTAAGAAGAAAAAAGAAGCGGTGTGGAAGAGCGGAACGGAAGAAGCCGCGTCGTCCTCGAGGAGAATGGACGAGCTAGCCTTGTCGTGCCCAGCATCCGCAATCTCTACGTGCAATCTTACGAATCCGCCATTCATCATAAAGCTCTTGAAAGAATCAGATCACTCGTTTAGGCATGAGCGACGGGCGCGCGGGTGAAATTTTCGCCATCGGTATAATGGTGATTCGCAGTGACAATTTGCGGACGTTTGTTTACTTATTTAAAATGTCAAATAGATATCTTAAATCTATTTTTTTTTTTTTAAGATAGTCGTTATTATATGAATTCAGTCGGTGCAAATATCCAATCACAATATTTGGGTAATTGTAATTGATATTTAACATCTTATAACTTAAAAGATTTTGACTGCAGTTTTTTAATTGCCACTTTAAAGCTGACAATGTGACGATAATCTTTCATTTAATCACATATGTAAATAAAATTGCAAATACATACAGCACAGTCGATCTTATGTATAAATTATTTTAAGCGATTAGCCGCTAGAAACATAATTCATACGCATGCACGCACACTTACACACACATGTTTTTACACTTCAGATTACTATATAGAGATAAAATATAGAGATTTGTTTTATTGGACATTTTTTTCCAATTACCAATTTTTACCTATTGCCTTCAATATTTCAAATAGTCCCAGAAATATTTGCCTGTTGCACTTTTACCGAATGCAATAGCCATTCTTTTATCAATTGTGTATAGTGAGAATATTTTTTTCGAGAAACAAAATATTTCAAACAAGAAATATCTTCTTTTTTACTTGTTACAGCGATTGTTTAAAGAATCAACAATGCCCGAGCGAAACGTGCGTTTCCTATCTGTACGAAATAAAAAATAAAAAAAATGTATCTTTGCCAGTTCCAAATATAAAACTCATTCCGCGCGTCAACAGTTTGCGAAATAATAAAACGTTGACAAACATGCGTGAAGAAAAATCCGAGAAAATCACAGAATTGCTACCGTAGCGAAGCGAGCGATACACACCCACACATACACACGCCCACGCGCAGAATGTTTCAACGAAATCGGGGAAAACAAGGAAAAAAAAATATGTCGCATTCTGCACGGACAGTATCGCGCAAAGACCGGAAATAGTCGGTCGAAATAGAGGATTGCGTTCGTATATTGCGCGCGGAGTATGTGTAGCCGTTTCTACATTCGCGAGAATAAACTCCATATCCAAATTTAAATAAAAGCATCCCGTTGTTCTTTTATACTACTTTTGTCCTGCAATTACTTCTTATGGGTTTTACAAACCCTTCATTAGGTTAGATGATCGTTGTTTTAATTTCTAATCAGATACTATTTCATTAATGCAAATGTAAGTACGTATAATATTACTATCTAGAACATAGTTTATTATTCGTTTCCTCCTTACTATCTTATCTGATAATCTCCGAAACATTTAAGAGATTCAATTTCTTTTGGCAAGTATAAGCTAGTCTTTACCTAGTTTACCTAGTTTAGTTAGATACTTTGCTGTTCTTCTTTTATTATAAAATTTATTTTATTTTATCTATTTCATTATTCTTTTTACCGAGTGATACGAAATTCCCGAATTAGTCTGTAGAGAACAACGTTTTTAATTAGCAGCGATAAATTAGCAATCTCGACGTCGATGCGTAGAACGTTTCAATAAATAGAAAAACAAATGGGGTGTGTAAATAATAAAATACACCGGCTACAAATCCGCCTCGTTTTGTCTCTTCTAAACCCTATGGCATCTCCTTTATTCGATTTGGCGAGCAATCGATGCAGCTGGGAGAAAAGTGTACGACGTGCCACATTATCCGCTTTGACAGTCAAAAGTGATGCAGCCATATTTAAAGTCGCGCGACGTTACACGGTCAGGTGCGCTTTTTGAATAATGCAGAGCACGCCTAACCGCTATGAATCAGCATCAGACGAAATGGGCCCTCCCGTTGTAGCTCATACTTCTTCTCTATCTTTTCAGCTCCGTACAGATTCAGCATAAGCAACCGCAAGATGCTGTCGTAAGAATACGTCTGTTTTTCGCGTTTTCTTATGCCGAACGATTCGTTGCTTACTTTTATAAAAAAACAATTACATATATACATGTATGTCTCATCAATTTCGCATAAAATTAAGTGCATATTTACTTTTACAAAACGCTGGTCATTCCATCCGACAGTTAAATGCCTGCTTCGAGGCATTGTTTAATTATATGCAGACACAATACATTTATTAAACTTTAGAAAGATGTTGATAATAATATAAAAATTTATAAGAAAATATAGAAATAAAGCTGTTCAGGTTTAGAAAAGAGAGGGTGCAGATATAATACTTTATAAACTTATGCCAAGGAAAGATCAGAGTTTAAAAAATAACGACGACGAAATAACACACAAAGAGCGATTGTTTCTTTCCTTTTGCAACTAAGGCGAAAACAACGCCCGTATGAAGAGGTATTGCCTCTATTGTGAGGGCTCATAATTAAATGAAGCACCTGGCGAGATATTTGCAATCTGAAAGAGTCATCGGAAAAAACGGGCTGGCTACTTTCCCGGCTTTCTTCTTTCCTCCCCTTTCTTTTTTTTTTTTTGGTTTAAATGCCATGCGGTAATTGGGCTACTTCGTATAGGCCATCTGCGGAACAAAGAACGGCCAGCAATATCTTTCAATTGAAACAAAAATGAACAAAGGATTTCGTCCGTCGCCGTTAATCAACGGCCAATGAGATGGCCATGGCTCAGCTCGAGCCCTCCATGTCGCTCTTCAAATACTTGCTTTATGTAATACGTGTATTTAAATTTAGAGATAAACGGCGTGTTTGTTTCAAGGCACATAAAGCGTGACCCAAAACGAGTATCGACGTTTTCTTAATTCACGTTTTCTCCTTCTCGCGTGAAATTTTTGACAGAAACGTTTGTAAAAAAAAAATACTTCTATATTCTTAATTTTCGCAAAAAATTTTGAATAAAATGCACTTAGTAATGAAATATTCTGCATGCTATATTTCAACTGTGACAGTCACAATTAGAGGAAAAGGAGAGGGGAGACATGGGAATGCGTGACATGGCAGGAAAAATAAATAATAAGTCCCGCCACAGAGAGTTCTCGGTCCAGCTTTCCATCCAGGGAAATTAGCCCCGCTGTCATGAAACTCCAATTACACTTCATGCCTCCAGTGTGTGCACGAAATCCGCATATTCCCCGGACGCTCAAATTTCATACTCGCAGAGAAGAATCTCAAGGAGAATAAACAAGCGTACCTTCTTTTTGGCGAAAGAATACGCGATAATAGATAAACAGTCGAAAAGCGATTCAAATAAAGCGATATTGAAATAACCACCGGCTTTCTCAACCCCGATCTAAAATCAGTTACTAAAATACTTGGAACATTACGTACATCAGTATAGAGATTCCGGAGAGTCTGAAATACCGAAAGTCCGCGAGATTGATACTGCCCGCAAAAGCATCCACACGCAAACGGAAAAACTTTTTCCAATTTCACCTTTGGGAACGAACCCGTAACTCGCCGCGAGACTTTGAGACGGTTATCTTGAACCCGGAAACTTCTCCTGCAATACGAAGAAGAAAACAGGTTCTATGCATGATTTTCCTCTGCATGTGTGGAAATCCGACGCGAGAACAATAAAACGTCCGCGTTAGTTTTAGTAGACACTGCTGTAAAGTTAATATTGGTACATAGCCTCTAGACCGAACTTCCCAATTATTAATGTCATGTCCCAATATAAATGTCAAAGATCATATACAGACCCTGGGTTCTTCATGTGGTACATTGTACATCTTCGAATTATTTTTATATCTAAAATTACCACCTTTCCGGTTGGTTCACCAACCGGATCGTCAATGAATGTATAAACGCGGAATCTTCACTTTAACTTCTGCATCAATATTCAATGTGCGGCATAACATCTGCAGTAATATCGTCTGAGTAACAATGAATATTTCAGGAATACGTCATCAACGTTATACGCGAATACTAGGACTTAAGCACGTTCGTAACTATTAATCGCGGTCGTAGGAGGAGTAGAAAACCACAAAATTGCAAAGGTCGGACGGTCAGTGGCAAAAAGATCTATGACGACAACGAAATATAACTGCGGTAAATCTCCTTTAAGTTTCATGGCAATCTTCCTAAATTTTTTTCCCCTGAAGAATCGAAGAGATCGATCTCGGGTGACTCGTTCTCGGGTGCCATATCTTCGAGACTCTTCTTCGGGTACTTCTTACGTTCTTCCGCCGCGCCGGAGCGAATATCTCTCCGAACAACAACTCCGAAGAACGCGCCGGAGTACGGTACTTCTACGCCCCCCCCTCTCTCTCTCTTTCTTTCTCTTGTTCATTCCGGGACTTTTTCGTTCTCGCTTTCAACAAGTTTCCGCAGGACACGCGTTACCGTCGAAAACGGCTTTCAACCATGATCCCTCTTAACAAACGAACAAGCGAACTACCGAGCTGTGACCCGGAACGCGATTACTTTATGATCGATAGCATCGTTTTATTAACTGCTAAATTTGAGTGTTACAATAATGTTGCGCGTAAAACGTGCAATTCGTGCAATTTGCATAATTATATAAATTATCTATTGTCCGATTATCAGCCGATATATAAATTAACAGTAAACAGCATCGCGAATGATATCCGTATATTCTGCACGAAAATGAGAACGGCGCGTAATTGTAGTCATATAAATTTTCATAACAGAATTTAAATAGATATCCGCAACATATTATGTCGCAATCCAAGAGATACCCTGATTATTTTTTCAGTATCAGATATCGTATTGATCGAATGACGATCAACGTGTCAATCAGCCATTTGCCAATATTTGCGACACTGGATATTGCATCAATTATTAAAAACAATATTCATATACGAACACACACACACACGTCACGTTCCATTCAC